CCTGGTCATCCCACTGACTTCCAGCGCAGTCCGGCTGCTGTTCCCCCTGAGCCGAAAAAATAGCCTTTTATCAAGGGTCCCGCGCTTAAAAGGCGCTTACCGTTCGGCGCGGGACCCCAACACCGCTCTCTCGCATTGTGCGTGCTGTCCAAAGCAAAAGTTAGGGCAGCAGGTTCTTCGTGCCAGGGTCTCCCGACCCCTTCCATCAAAAATCTCGTCCCAGCTGCCTTTCGGAAATCAAGTAAAATCTACGAAATTTTTTCAACCGTTACAAAGCTCAAATCAAAAGCTTACGGATCGAAATGGCCCAAAAGATGGAATGCAAAATCTGCCGGGACACTGCCTAAATATCAAGACCTTATAATAACGGGCTAAGGGTTGTTTACGTGTTTTTGTGTGTATGTGTGTGTGTGTGTGTCCGTCTGTTACGAAATTCGTGCAGCGTGTTCCAGCCAGCGTTCTAAGCCCAAATTTTGCATAGCGCATGCTATCCTCATGAAAGTCCAACATGTAGAAGCACCGAGTAGATTCGTTGAGTGGATCCCTCAGAAATTGCGCGCCAAGCGGATCCATCTGGCTTCTATCTCGCAAAATTTGGTCCGTATCACCACTTTTTGCAAAGTCGTGAATGTGTTTGGTAAGCAAATGTGCAATCAATGGACTTTGACCCAAAAAGTGGTCAAAAGTTTACTACATAACGAAAATGGCGCCAAAAAGAATTGGTTGCGTGAATGGTCAATTTGCGAAGGTTCTAGCCAAGCTTTTGAGAAGATTTTTGCACAGAGATGTAGCACACGGTGACTATTGCCTTTATGGTGACTATCAAGCAATGACAAATTCAAAAACCTATTGAAACTTGTGTTTGTCTTCCTGCGAAAAGTTTCATCCACGCGAAATCACCGATCTCACGTTTACATTTTATTCGTGGTAGTCGGCTTAGCGCGGTGAGTTTCAGTACCACGATATTACGAGAATGAGTAAGGCACATGGGTAGTAGAGCCAGTGCGAGCCTCTGCGAAGCAGAGGTGACGCACTGGTAATAAGAATAAACAAATTCCATTCGGGTATTTCTCGCAGATCTCAAACTCCAGAACGTCAATAGTGATTGAAAGATCATTCAATCCTCCTCTGAAAGGTGCAAATGCACTTCTGAACGGAACACATTATGCTATTAATTTTGAGTACTTATTGTGCTTCACTTACGCTAGCACATTTAAATTGGACAGTCCTAGCAAACATTGTTTTTACCACGTTTTATTAGTTGTCGAAAGCCTGGTCAGTTCCATATCATCCTGAAGTCTTCCACATTCAAATTAATGATCTTACAGCAAGCATGCATTAGTCTTACTTGATTTTAATGGTCAGTGTTTTGCTCATTCTTGAAAATCTGAAAGCAGACTTTCTTTGACGCTTTTTTATGTCTTTGTAGTTTACTGCTTATCAGTTTTTGATACGATATCCATAGGAGAAGGATGATCAAAAATATAAATGCAAGACACTTGGTCAGATTCAATAGTCATTACAACATCCGAAAATGAGGTAAAGGACAGATGCCATGATTTATTGCGACTGAAAACCAAAACGGGCGGAACTTATGGGACAACCTGATAAATGGGGAATTTTTAAGACATTTTGGGGCGGAGATAAGATTTTTGAATAAAAGTTCGTTCTCGACTGCTATCAGAGTTTAGCTCAAAACTTCCGGTGAAATACGATTCGGGCGGATTCTTCACAGCCATCTTGTAGAGTTTTCTTTTATCTGTCGAATAATTACTCAAGCTACACCAGTTGAACAAAAAATACGAAGAAACGACGGTTATAGTAAAACGGTCAAAAAAATTATGGGACACCCTAATACAAAAACGGTATGTTATGTTGTCTTATAATATCTTAGGCGATGTATAGTACTCGACAACTCATGCACAGTTGTTTGAAAACCAGAAACTTGTTATCTCTTCGATTACAATGATTTATCTGAAAGTAAGACAAAGTGAAACCCGACTATTCACCCTTTAGTTGCTGAACCTGTTGGGTTTCATGAAAAGCGTGTTGATGCTCAATATTTCACGGTATTTATGGAGTATGTAAGCTGTACTCGTTTTGCAGGATGAGAAGAATCTGAGTGACTCCAAAATTTGAGTATCATTTGTTCTATAAGCGCTTGCTGTGGGAGCCTTCGAGAAAAAATGACTTTGTGGATAACGTGCCTTTTTGCATTCTTTCACACGACTACGTTTGCAGCTGGTAAGAAAAATTCTCTAACTTGTTTGAAGATATTGAGCAACTATCGAGGCACGACATGAAAAGGCATTATGCGCTTCTGCAAGCTTCTCAATTTTTTCAAATGCTCATTGGATTGAACACCGAATCATCGCTTGAGCGTCTTACAAGGGAAGGATGGTCTGGTTGGTCCAGGTGGCCTTTTGAGATGAGTTGATTCCAAATCTGTCTTCATTATCTGCGGCGTCCTGTACGAGAAGTTATGGTGAAAAAAATTGGATGTGTAAATAATATAAAAAACGTAGCAGCCTCTTTCCTAGCTCGTAAATGGACCGTTGGTAATCTTTGCAGCACTCTGTAAAATAGTATTCTTAGATGAGATATAATCCGCGCTCCAGCTGTCTCATTCAAGCGCTGGGAAAATTTTTGCAAATGTTTATCCCAGAAAACGTTCATTTTTTTGCTCTTTTAAACGCCCATAACTCCTCTTCTATCCTTAGGAACGCTTTGCAGATAAGGAGGACACATTTGGAATTAGCACCTTACGCCCTCCAACATCGTGTAAATCATCGCAAAAGGCCGCTTCGACCGACCATCCTTCCCTTGTCAGATGAGGCTCGTAAGATGAACCTACGAACTAAAATTTTTCGATTAAAGGTGCGTGGCGCGAGCCATAAAACAAAAATTTGGTTCTTATTCTGGGGCCCATACCCCAAAATTTCAGAAGATTTTTTACAAGGCTGATTTGGAAGTTCAAACAATTCTCAGAATTATCTTTATTAACAAGTACAATCCCTGCATATTTTTTCACTCGTGTAAGCAACTTAAACAGTTCGAGAATCATTTTCGGGGTCCTAAAGTGCATTTTGGTAATTGTTTTACGAGATTCCTGAGACCTTTCAAAAAAGCAAATGATTTTGAAACAACAGTAGATTCTCAAACTTCATCAAAAGTGAAAGTTTTAAACGGTAGTGTTGGAAAAAGAGGAATATATTGCACGAAAATTCTAGCGCACTCCTAACTGCATCATAGCTATAACTATTCAGACATTCGTGGTAAGTCCCGCAAGAGTCTTGCGGAACTAAACTCCGGGCTGAGAAGGTAATCTTACACGAAAATCCGATTTTGTCCCGAACTTATGGCCAAGCATATATCGCGCGATTTCATCGTCTCGTCTGAGGTCGGGATAAAATCAAATTGTCGCGTAAAACTACCCTTTTTTTGCCATTTTGTAAGCGGACTCTTGTGGGACTCAATCACGAATGTATGGGAATGATACGCAAGACAGGATGGCAACACTAACTCCTCCAAAGAATCCAGCAAGCTTTTTTGCTACAATGATGATAAGGCAGATAAATACCATAACTCCAAAAAATAGTAATTCTCATAAATACATGACGCCTTATTCTCTTTGCACTTGGGTGAAAACTTTTGAGCATGTCTGTGATGTTGGATAAGTTATTATTTTTGAGTCTGATAGCAGACTTGAAAACTCACAATTTCAGATGCGCCAATGTGCATACGTTACAAAGGGAGTGATCTCTATGAAAGATATGAAACACGACGACGTCAATCCTTTGGCTTCATGTTCGATTGGAATAAGCACAACCTTGATCCTTATTTGTGTACAGCGGAGTACATTCAGATTGTTTACACAACTTACGATTTGTGTAAGCTGTTCTGTACAGGTTTGTTTTGGTAAAACGAAAGTTATCTAATTTATACATTGACTTCTGCAAGTGATCAAAGTCGTAACTTTATCTGCTCAAACTCACTTTCATACTATCGCAAACCATTCGATCCTTTTCTGCTAATTATATCATAAAATAAATACCGTTCTCTCTTGAAAGCAATGCCCAAAATTTTGCTCCATATTTTTTGCCAAAATTTGCATCTTTTATCTATCATCTTTCATCTTTATCCATCTTTTTGCATGTTTTGGGCGTTTTCGACCCGTAGACCCCAGTTCATCTTTGAAATGGGTGAGAAGACCTTTTTCGGGGAGTTTACCCACCAAAGGTAGCTCGGACGAGAATTTCAGTACATGGGAGGCTCTGGTGCGGAGTTTCTGCTGCTTATAATTTTTAGCTTGGATGGCTTACGCAGTGCAAGAGAGCGATCATGGGATCCCACTCCGAACGATAAGCGAAGTCGAGCGCACGCCGGTTCAAGAGCTATTTCCTCTGCACAGAAGGGAATATCAACCAGCCGGACTGCGCCTTTAGGTCAGCGGGATGACCAGCAATCCCACCATAGCAATATCCCCCAGGGCGCGAATCTGCCTGGTCACTGCCTTCAATGGCCGGGCATACATCACGCGATTCCATCACTCCGCAATTCCTCCAGCAAGAACTCTTATGAGTTCATTGCATACTATTCATCTTGCGTTATGGTTGCAATAGTTTTCCCAGCGACTGAACGCGCCTAACAGTGGGGTACCAAGGCCCCCCCTCTCCCCCCCCCCCCCGAGAATGGGCGAAGTTTCTGAAAGTTACATACTTAAGTTATAAAAATCTTTAAGTGACTTCTTTGTACTTGTAAGTAATTAAAAGAATTTTTGAAATTTTCCGAAAATTCAATCTAGCCTTGTAATCTTTTTCGGAGGCGTGGCTGACGCCATGCCCCTTTTTCTAGAATTTTGGGGTTATAGGTTCGCGAAAATATTGAGAAGCATATCAAAAATTGTTTCTGGGTGGTTCCCCCCCCCCCCCCCGAACGGAAATTCTGGGTACGCTACTGGCGGCTAACTATCACAACTGCAATGCAAAACGATTAGCAAGCAATGGATTCGTGACAGTTGCTCTGTTGGAAGAATCGCGGGGGCGATGAATGTGTGGTGTATGCCCGGCCCTTTAGCCACGCTTCACCAATCTCTGATCAAAAGTGTTAAGAAAGAGATAATCGTCTACGCGTGAACACCTTCTATACGCAACAGATTCTAAACGTAATTCTCTGACTTTATTGGGCAACTGCAATGAAGTTTAGGGGGAAAACTTGAAGCAAATAATTTCTCAATTTAACAAAGATGTTACAGTATTATAACAATTTGCAATGGCGTAATCTGTAAGGATGAAGTCCTCGGGGATACTTTGCGCATTTTGATCGCCACGCGATCTGTAAATCGCCAGATGTATCCAGTCCAACTTTGGCAGACTAAGATGCATAGTATGTATAACTCTTGTAAACTGATGAAATGCTCTATTTTTTGTACGCTAAGAATGCGGTTACGATGAGTTAGATACACTTAAGTACTGCCAACTGGCTTCGGGACTAAAATCGCGAGAAGTATGCCTGGGGCTCAATATAATATACCACTAGATTCGCTCTGAGTGCCAACTGCGTTCCTTACCTGCTCAGTGATTCTGCAAAAGAACCAGAACCGCTTATAACACGATAACATTGCAACATAGTGTGTAGAATGGAATGTTATTGTTATGATCTCTGGAAAAAGGGTGACCAGGAAAGTGTAAGTTGCCTCCTGATAAACGTAACCATAAAGTAGTTATCAGACTCAGACATTTGAGCACTTTTACCTTTTGAGGAATAGTTTAGCAGACCAGAAGAGTGTTTTGACATCAGCTCTATAGACATCCGCTAAAATGAGGGAGGGACAAAAAAAAATGAAAACTACATCTCTTCTTAAAGCTATTCTCAATTTATGTATCATATTGACAAACAAATGACTGCTATAAACTATTCAAGCAGGTTTTTTCTCCCAACAATCACAACTTCTAATTATTTTTTTGTACTGCCGACACAAATAAGTTTTAGACCATATTTTCTACTTCTTAATTGTATAGTTGTGGGTAGCTGCTATTTCGCATAGCTAGCAGAAGAATTTAAATCATAATAATTCCATTAAATGCTATGGTAAATGCTTGACTCATCGTTTCGCCGAATCCAGAAAAATCTAAAAGTCAAATGCAGTCGTTTTATGTTGCGTCCTGTTTAATTATTACAACGTTTTAGTTTTTAAAAATTTTCACCAACGAAAAATCGAGGTAAGGCTGTGTGCATATATAACACCGCATGCAAAGATATCCTGTTTGGTCAATTTCAAGCTTTTTAAAGCAAGTATGCAATCAATCCAGACAAAATGCAGCAGCAAAACTACCATAACTGCAGTTCCAACAACGCCAACGCCAACAGCTACAACTCCGAAGGCTCCCTTAACTTCTGATGTGTTTTCCACCGAAAAGTCATCAAAGGCAACAACAGCTACAATGACAAGAACTTCTTCAGGAACAACAAGTCCTACTGTTTCTTACACCAGTGCGACGTCTACAATGAAATGTAAGTTTTGCATACTTCATAAGCAACTCAGAGCAGCAAAGCAATTATGCTAACATTCCAATGATGTCATTGATAACGACGTTTGCATTATCTTCATTAATGCATTAATCAAATATTTGAAAACCCCGCAATGAAGAACACCTATACATGTGACATTACATCATTTTACTGTGTATAGCTATTGTACAAACATATAGACTCATCGTTAACAACAGCCTTATTAATAGCAACTTCAACTCTACGTACCTCAACGACGACTCCAGCTGCTACCAGTTAATTAATTGCTGAATAATTTGTGTGCCGACAAAGCAGCAGCTCTGCTACCAACATGTTCACAGCTAGACAATTTTTACAATCTCTGCCAGGTCAGATAAGAGCGTGTTAATCGATGTTACGACCCATGATGGTCAACCAAAAAGGTAGTCTTCCTGAACGAATCTCAGAACGTATCGAAAATATATCTGAGTGACTGGAATTAATTAAAATTCAAGTAAGTTGTGGTGGTAGCCGGTAAATGAGCTTCGAGACCTCATAATTGTTCAAGACTTCGCACGGGAACGTGAATCGAGAATGAATGCGAACGAAGCATTTATTTGTTGCTTAATATAATGTATCTTAGCCTAAAAGCTCCTCCCCCCCCTATGCCGAGTTCTTTTTGCAATCATGTCATGGACTCCCCCCCCCCCACCCAAATTCTAGCAAATGTTAAATCAAAAATTTTCTATCTTATACGATAATCAGTCGTGACCCTCTTATGCGATGGCGAAACTATAAGACCAAAGAACGTGCCATATTCAGGTAAAAATTATAAAAGAGGTCGTATTACTTGTGTGCCAACCCAATACTTATAGATGGGCTAAAAAAGCCTTTTGCGCGTTCGTATACCATGCGTATGCATCTTTGAAACAGTGCATAATTCCTTTTGGAGAAAAGTAAGCAATTCAGCCTAATCCATGTCTACATAGTCGCATACATTAACATTCTCGCTGGGGAGAGGACCGCAGCTTAGAGCAAAGCTTCATATTCCGAAATTGTTCTGAAGTTCTCGATTTCGTACCGCTTATCCAAAGTGTTTCCACTATCCTTTATTATAAAGAGAATTGATGGGGACGAGAAGCTGTACAAGCCGCTTTGGTTTCTATATGATTTGCAATTGAAAACAACAGTATTGAAAACCGTTTATTCACTCTCATCTACAGCTATCCCAACGATATTAACTGTCACACTACTCACAAGGGAAAGTACCCAACTCAGCTCGGCCCCTGGATCAGCTCCTAACGCTGATTCAAATATGCTATTGCTAGCTGCCGCGCCCCATTCCGAAGTGAGTTATAGGCTTTTTCCTGCACAAAATTCGCATACTCATCAACTCACTGGGATCACGGCATCATTATCCAAGTTCTAATACACTTGCGTTAAAATTATTTTCAGTGAGGAAAGATTAAATTTGTACTATTTCGATATCTTAGCACCTTTTTCTTCAGATTTTTATTTACAGGCAGTCTTCCCACATTCAGTAATATGTCACTTTGCGCAGGAAAAAGCCATAACGGCGCGCGGCAGCTAGAAACATATTTGGAGTCAGCGTTTGAAGCTGTCCAGATATATTTTCACCTTATCAGGAGGCCGAGCTAAGTCAGGTAGCTCTCCTTATCAAAGCCGGCAAAGATCCTTAAAAAACTTTTACATTCTAGGCATTCATTCACTTACGATTACAGTGTCGTCAACAACGCCAGAGCCTTTGACATCAACGAGAAGCACAACAAACGTTACAAGCTATACCACTGGCAGTGCCACTACAGAGAAGAACGCAACAACGTGTTGAGTAACTTTTTTTTTATGGGGAGAGAAAGGATCAATCAGAAGTTTGAGTGAAAAAGTGGAAAGTTTTGAGTTGTTTGAAGATGAGTTAATAGGGTCAGGCGCAACCCCTCAAAAGCTCAGGCGGCCCGAGCTTTTGAGGGGTTGCGCCTGACCCCATTAACTTCACCTCAAAATGAACTTTTTTGAATAAGTCTCATGTTGTCCATTAGCACAGACCTCGTAAATTCCTTATTAGGTGTGTGAAGCAGATTCGTCTTGTTTTGGCTTTCTAGAAGCTCATGCAGTAAATCCATTTGAGGTGAAAAACGCCATTGTCGAAATTTTCATGAGGTTTATAAAACCATTACTTTGAAGTGGTTTAAGACGAAATTGATATGGTATAGTAGGGAAGAGTAATACTTTGTAACAAATGTAAAAAGGTTGACTTTGGTAATCGTCGAAATCAAGTTAATCATGCTTTAAAACAGCGCCTTCCAGACATTAGAGAAGATGGAAAATTGTGATAGGAAATTGTATAAAGGGTCCACAAAGGGATATTTTGCATGCCGATTACGAAAATAGCATTCAATTCGCTGGTATGAGACCTTTGATGGGGTTACGGTAGGTATATGTTAGGTTGGGTTGTCCATTCAAATCATTCTAACTCTGCTGTTTTTGTACCTGTAATGCAACTGTAATAGGCAATGGTTTGTAAAGCTTGAGGTAATTTGGCATGCCGATTACGGAAGTCATACCCAATTTACACGGAAAGCTTCTTTAGGATTTTACGGTTTGTGTAAGGTAATATGAAGAAATTGAAAATTAGCTGAGACTTGGTCAGTCGGGTTAACCAACATGCTGTTCACGTCACAATCATTCGTCTGGTGGAGTTGTGAGATTCATGGTTGAGCGCTTTTTTTCTTCACCTTACTCGGACGTAGTATTTCCTCAATTTTTGAACAAATTCGCTTCTTGATTACGACCCCCCCCCCCCTTGCTCTTTCCCCTCATACGACCCCCTAGGTCGGGCGCGCCTGACCCCACGCTCAACCCTGTTTATATATAAGATTGGTTCAAACCTCCATCGTGTGCAATTATAGTACATCTTATATATAAAGCTGAATGTCTGTTTGTCTGTCTGTATGTCTGTCTGTCTGTATGTCTGTCTGTACGTATGTTCCGAATAGAAAATTCCATTTCTGAACCGATCCGGACCAAACTTGGCACACATACACTACGGGCCCCGGCGGGTGTCATAGGCTACTTTTCGTCATCGATCGATATCGATTTTATCGATTTTTATCGATTTTTTTGCCGAGTTCACCTACGGGGCCGGGAGTTGGCACAGGGGGGGGGGGGTAAGTGAGCATAGGGATTTCGAATACAATATTGGTTTTCGGGATTATCGATTACTTTCATCGATTTTATCGATTTTTTGCAAAGTTTGAGCTAGGGGGCTGGGAGTTGGCACAGGGGGGGTAATCGAGCATGCTGATCACCCCCAAGGGGGGTGATCAGCATGCTCGATTACACAGCGCTCGCTAAAAGAAATTATTTGCCGAGCGCTTGCAGAAAATGCTGTATTGCTGCCCGCTGGCAGAACATTAGACAGTGAAGGAAGTACCGCCCGCTGAAGGTTTGGCCACCCCCCAAAATTCAGTTGACCGCTTGCAGAAAAGCGGGAGTTTGCGGACCGCCTGCCCCCGGCGATTATCTGAGTATGCGCCACAGACGCCCCAAGAGATAATGTTGAAGAAGATGTCGTAGTAAATGTGCTCGCAAAGAAAGCACCTAACACTTGAGCTTTTGATTAGTTAGGCATACATCCGATTCATCTTTCAAGGCACCAAATTTTTCGATATGAGTTTTACTGTGGATTTACGCAAAAAGATTCCGTTAGTGCTTTGACAGAGCCAAGCGTCTCTCATAATTAGCAAGGAACTTCTTGAGGTGGAATGCAATATCGCCACAGACTTCTTTGGCGGACTATCAGATCGAAATGCCTTGAACAGCCGTTCTTTTTGCAGCAGGAGTGACTGGAAATGATGCGGGTATTTTAGATATCCAATTTTGCGAGTTTCAAATGGGGTAAATCTTCCTAAGAGCTCATAAGACCCAGGAAAGCCTATAGTACACTTCCGATGAACTGCTATAAAGATCAAAGCATTCTTCCCAGTTAACTTCATTGAGCCCTTTTTTCAATGAAGCAAAATCAATCTTATTAAAATTAGGTCTTGGTATAAGGTCGCATTTTGGAGAGGTGAATTCATATCGAAAATAGATCATATTATGATCAAAAGTGACAAAGGGAGCTCTAATGATTAACTTGGAGATGGAACGGAAACCTGCTAAAACCAAATTCAGTATAGCATCATTACGTGTCGGCTCCGTCACAAACTGCTGCAATTGCAATCTTTCAAAGAGGTCAAAAAATTTCTTAACATTTATGCTGTTCGGGCATCAAAACTCTTGGGAGTATTTGATGGGTAAGTTGAAGTCACCGACAATCAAGGTGTCTGAGCAACATAAAGCAGAAGGGGACAGCAAGTCTGAAAGGGCTTCATCTGAGTCAGCATTAGAATTCGGAGGGCGATAGATACAAATGGTTCGTAATTTGGAAAAAGAAAACTTGATAAAGGTCAATGGCCAAAAAGTCGCAATTGTTTGGGATGGTTATGTCAACCTTTTCGCACAACAATGTTATTTTTATCAAAACACATACACCTCCCCCTTTTATTATGGTTTCTATCACGACGAAATATCGTGTATGGCAAATTCGAAACGATTTCAGCATCATTGTTTTAGAAGAGAGCCATGTTTCTGTAATGAACAAAATGTCAGGAGCTTCAGTGACCAAAAGATTATGTAAATGGGCAGGTTTATTCACTAGAGATCTAGAATTAAACAGGTATAAATCGTAAAGAGTGGTCTTGCTAACTATTTAGGTTCCCCGCTGTGTTGACCCTTATCTACGCGGGGGGTATGGGGCTTGCGAAGGCGATTGTGCGAAAGATTGCTGGCTGAAATTAATTCCCCTTTATAAACTACGAACCTGTCCTCATACCTACTCTGATTCATCTGCCTAGCCCTTTCTCAAAGCTCCCGTCCTTGCTCTCTCTCCCGGCCAGTCATACTTCTTCTAATGAAAACGCCCTTATAATCAGGATAGTCCCTTAGAAGTCTGGCCCGGGAGAAAGTTGTGACCCAGTGCCCCTTTGTTGGTAACTCAACTTTGGCCAAACGAGGCTTGCCCACTCTCTTTCCTCCCCATCCGATAAACCCTTACGGGGCCTACATTCCACATCGAGAATGTCATGAGCCCACGGACTTTTTGCTCAGTGTCGTCTTGTCTAGCCGACGCTGGCGGCCTGGCTCCATCATTCGATATTTCGAGTTCCGGAGATCACAATGCGCCGTGATCTTTTATCCTTCTCAATTGCCCCCTCGCTAACCTCACCAAGACGTACTAAAATCTCATTGGTGATTTCATTCAGTTCTGGTATGTTAAGGTCCAAAAGTTTTTTGAATAAATGAAAAATAGAAGTGGATTCAAAACCACCAATGGCATCCTGAGAAGCGAGCGAGTTGATAATTTGCGAAGGTACGGTGCTGCTCGGAGGAATAGTCAAAAGTTTAGAGGCAGCAGGGGTTTAATTTTTGCGTTGTGACCTATTTGATTTTGCAGGCATAGCAAGATAGAGTATTTGATAAAAGATAGGCCAGACGTACAGAGATATCGATCAAGACACCGAAAAGATCTCAGATATGAACGAAATCAATTCAGCCGGGACTCAGAAAGTGAGACAGGGAACTATATGACACAAAATAAGGAAAGAATATCGGAAATAGACACGAAAAATAAGAAAAAAAGAATACGCTGAGAGCAATCAAAAGACCAACCGCTCACGGTTGAGACAAGTATGGGAATGATGGATTACAAAGATACTGATGGCTTTGATTTCAATTTTATGCCACATGATGCTGCGGTCATTCTCTACAAAATTATTTGGCTGGAAATGGCTGCCGTATGTTTTTCTAAGAATGGAAATTATCAAGCTAGTACTTTTGTAAAGCGAAAAATCAGAATTTTTGGTATTTACAATTTTGCTGTAACTAGAGATGCTGTCAATGTTTTACAAAACTTCGATGCGCACAACATAGAAAAGACTTTGCGCTATTGTATCTTAGTTTTGCTTTTGCCAGCAGCTGTTGTTGCACTCTATTTGGCTGGAAATGGCTGCCGTATGTTTTTCTAAGAATGGAAATTATCAAGCTAGTACTTTTGTAAAGCGAAAAATCAGAATTTTTGGTATTTACAATTTTGCTGTAACTAGAGATGCTGTCAATGTTTTACAAAACTTCAATGCGCACAACATAGAAGAGGCTTTGCGCTATTAAATCCTAGTTTTGCTTTTGCCAGGAGCTGTTGTTGCATGAACGGAAAATAAAAGTTTGCGAATGTTACCTACGCAAGTGGAAATCCATCTTCAGAACAAATTTAAAAGCTGTAGAATGCTCAACAGGCACTGGAACCAGAGCTGTATTTTTTGCATACGTCTTCTAAAAGAATCTATTGGAATTTGGCCATGGGAACCCTTTTTGAACTTTTTAAACGATATTTTTGAGTTTTTATTCGCGCAATTGTTCAAAAATTTGGTATGCGACGTACACATGCTTCTAATTGAAAATCCAATATTCTTATTCCTAAGCAATGCAAAAAATTCTTTTGGAATACGTTGTAGACAAAAGTTTGGTCTATCACGCTGAGCATTTGCCAAGGTAAAAGACGCAGCTTTTGTGAAGGCGTGGGGCGAATCCATTACGACTACCTGCGTGCCATGACAGGTGGATGCCGAGATTTTGTAGGGCTGCGCGGAAGCCAAAAGAGGCAGTTTTGCAATTCAAGAACTGGGCTGTATCTGCAATGGGTCGAATTATGTGTGCGCCAAATTTTTCGTTTCTAGGTACTTCTCTTCTCGTTTTGTACGAAAAAATACTAGGCTCCCAGATTTCTGCCGCACC